GAAAGCCTCTACAAAAGGATTCCGATTGAAATCCAATACAAAAGGGATTCGATTGAAAGCCAATAGAAAAGGATTCCCAGTGAAAGCCTCTACAAAAAGATTCCGATTGAAAGCCAATACAAAAGGACTCCGATTGAAAGCCAAAACAGAAGGAATTCCAATGAAAGCCAATACAAAGGAATTCCAATGAAAGCCAATACAAAAGGATTTCGATTGAAAGTCAATACAAAAGGATTTCTATTGAAAGCTCTACCAGAGGATTCCTATTGAAAGCCTGTACAAAAGGATTAGTATTGAAAGTCTCTGCAAAAGGATTCCTATTGAAAGCCAATACAGAAGGATTCCTATTGAAAGCCAATACAAAGGGAATGCGAACGAAAACAAATACTACAGGATTCCTTTTGAAAGGCTATATCCTCCTCCTCCTCCTGGAGAAGGAGGAGAGGGAGGAGGAGGAGGAGGAGGAGGAAGAGGAGGAGGAGGGTGAGGAGGAACGAGGAGGATGAGGAGCAGGGAAAGGAAGAGAATGACGATGAGGAGGATGCCCTCCTCGTTTTCGATTTCTGGCCTCAATGGACGCGAATTGTTGGCGCACCAGCCCCCAATTCAGCACACCCGCAACACGCTTCGTGACCCAATAAGGAGCTCCACCTACAGTATCAGCAGGCCCGACCGTATGGCATACCAGCATTTTACAAATTGCATGGCCCCATGGAGAGCTCCAGCTACAGCCTCAATGGTCGCGAACGCATGGCGTACCAGCCCCCAATTCGGCACACCCCTCACACGCACACGCTTCATGGCCCCATGGGGAGCTCCACCTACGGTTTTAGTGGGCGCGACCGTCTGGTGCACCAGCCCACCATTCGGCACATCCCTCGCACGCACACGCTTCGTGGCCCCATAGGGAGCTCTACCTGCGGTAGAAGTAGGCCCGACCGCATGGCGTGCAACTATCTTACACGCTCCACGGCCTCATAGGGAGCTCCACCTACAGCCGCAGTGGGCGCGACCGCATGGCGCACTAGCATTTTAGACGCTTCGTGGCCACAAGAGGAACTGGGAATTACACATACAGTCCCAATGAGCGCGACCGCATGGCGCACCAGCCCCCAATCTGGCACACCCCTGACACGCTTCGCGGCCCAACAGGGGGCTCAAACGACGGTATCAGAGGACGCCGACATATGGCGCATCAGCCCCCAATTCGGCACACCCCTCCTGGGATTCGCGGCCCCATCAGCTCCACCTGCAATTTCAGTGGGCGCGACCGCAAAGTGTACCAGCCCCCAATTCAGCACACCCCTCACACGCTTCGTGACCCAAAAGGAAGCTTCGCATACGGTCGCAGGGGGTGTAACCGTATGGCGTACCAGCTCCCAATCTGGCACACCCCTCACACGGTTCGTGGCCAGATAGGGATCTGAACCTACGGTATCAGTGGGCGACAACGCATGGCGTACCAGCACTGCATTCGGCACACCCTTCACGCGCTTCGTGGCCCCGTACATTTACGGTACCAGCGGGCGCCTCTTTATGGCGCACCAGCCCCCAATTCGACACACGTCTCACACGCTTCGCGGCCACATAGAACGGGCCAACCTACGGTCCCAGCAGGCGTGACCACATGGAGCACCAGCCCCCAACTCGCCACACCCTGGACACATGTCGTGGCCCCGTGAGGAGCTCGACCTACGGCATCAGTGGACGCCGACGTATGGCGCCCCAGCCCCCAACTCGGTGCACCCCTCACACGCTTCGCGGCCGGATAGAATGGCGCACCAGCCCCCCATGCGGCACACCTCTCACACGTTTAGGGGCCCCACGGGGAGCTCCCACGGTCTCAGAAGCGCGGCCGCAGGGCGTACTGGCCCTCAACTCGGCACACCTCTCCCCTGGCAGGACCGTGGCCCCATGGGGAACTCAACCGACGGCCCCAGAAAGAGGTTCCGCATGGCGGCGCCGCCCGTGTCGGCACACCCCTCACGAGAACCGCGGCCCCATGGGGGAGCTCCACCTACGGGCCCAGTGACAGGGTCCGAAGGGAAATCCACATACGATCTCGACTGAAAAGTTTGCACGTGTAATTCCACCCGTTTCGGCACACCCCTCACGAGAGCCCCACCCGCGGACCCAGTAAGAAAGTTTGCTTGCGTTTTCAAGCGCATGTCGGCGCAAACCTTACACGTGTCGCGCACCGTAGGGAGCTGCACCTACGGCCACCGTTGGAAAGTTTGCATGCGTGCCCCCCGTATTAGCACACCCCGCACACGAACCGTACATACACAGGTGCATCACCAGCGTGACACGAAGATGCCAGGAGCTGGATCCATCGCCAAACAGATATGACATCTCCTGACAGCCCCAGGGCACGAAACGGGCATCCGGATCGAAAACTGCGACAAGCGTTATTCCAACCTCGAGACTCGATCCGCCCTCGATCCTCGATCGATCGATCCTTGATCGATCCTCGATCCGCGATCGAGCCTCGGCTCTTCGAACACAACCAGATCGACCCTCGATCGATCGAAGGGCGGCGCGGCTGGCGGCGGCTCTGTCTGGGCCGCCCGACAAGCTGCACCTCGGCAGCGTCCCGCCTGAGCTTCGCCTGCGCGATGCGCTCCGCCGCCTCGGCCTGGCCCGTCGAGGGCGCTTCTGCTCCCCAGCTAGGCTTGCCTCATGCGTTCTGCTTGGCTATATGCTGGGCCTGCTTTCCACCACCACCACCACCAGTTCGAGGGGTGAGGGGCTCCTCCCTTCCCTCGTTTTCCTCCTCCTCCTCCTCCTCCTCCTCCTCCTCCTCCTCTTCCTCCTCCTCCTCTTCCTCCTCCTCCCCCTCCTCCCCTCGAACTGATGGTGGTGGTGGTGGTGGTGGAAAACAGGCCCATCAAGCAAGGCTGCGGCCCCATGGGGCTGCTCGGCGCGTGCCTCGGGGCGCTGCCCCCGGCTCCTCGGGCTCCCCGCGCTCCTCGGGCTCCTCGGGCTCCTCGGGTGCCCCGGGTGCCCCGGGTGGCCCGGGTGGCCTCGGGCTCCCCAGCTTCTCCGGGCTCCCCGCCCCCAGTGCCTCAGAATTCTTCCTGTGCCCGTTCCAAGCCGCGCCAAGCAGATGCGAAGCAAGCAGTGCCGAGCAGTGCCGAGCGAAGCCGAGCAGTACCAAGCAATTCCAGAAACATTGACAAGCAATGCAATACCAAGCATTACCAAGCAATGCCAAGCAATGCCAAACAATGTCAAGCAATGCCAAGCACTGCGCCCATGCGATAGGAAGCTTTCCCCTAATTGAGGTCGCGCCGGGCTCATTATTCGGCAGCGACAGCGCAGACCTCACTCCATGAAGTGCGCAGTCGAGGACCCGTGAAACGCAAAGAGGCGAGGAGGCGGAAGAGGAGCAGAACCGAACGAGCGGGCAACGCGATCGCCGAAAAAGGCGAGGAGCAGAACCTCGAAGACGAGGACGTCCACGAGGATGACGATAATGATGAGGACGAGGACGTTGACGTCGATGAGGAGGATGAAGACGACGAGGACAGCGACCGGGCTTCCAAAGCCGAAGACCCCTCCTGAAGTCGTATCGCCTCCAATATCGACTCAAATTGAAACGCATTTTGGGTGGGGGCGACTCAGCAGTTCTATGCTGCCCGACACTGAAACCGGTACGTCCAGTACGTCGTGCCCAGTGCCACCAAACCCGGGCGCACACATGCATTGGCAAACCACGCTTTCAGCCTTGAGGTTGCCGAACCTCTTTCTGATGAGGAGCAGACGAGGAAGAGAACCTCCTCAGAAACACTTCGAGCCTCCCCAGGGCTACCGGACGAAAAGTAAGAGGAAGAGGAGAAAAGGAAGAAGACCTCCTCGAGACATTTCTTAAATTCCTCCCCACCATCGTCCACAGCATCCTTGCCATCAGGGCCACGGGACCTAGACAAAAAACGAATCCTTGAACCCTGGGCCACCCCCTAGGATTTCATCCCAAGCCGTTTTCTGCCAGTCCATGGGGGCCTGGGGAGGCCTCCGGGGACCCCTAAAGCGGAGACAGAAACGTTTGCTTCCAGGGCCCGTTGCCTCAAAGGTGAAGACAAGGAGCACCGCCTCCTCGAAGCATCTGAGACCCTCGGGCGTGGCAGGATGGGCGCCGCACCAACCAAGGCTGCCACCAGCGGGCCTTGGGCACCCAACGCCCGACCATCGGGACCACAGCCGAGATCCCCGAGCATTTTCTTGGTCCGCGGGCACCAGCGAGGCATGTAACAGTCAACATCGGGAGGGGTGTTCCAGAAGCGAATTGCGGGACGGAAGGGGCCCGGCAGACGGGAGAGGCGGAAAAGGAAGAGTCGCGGTCAGAACACGAAGTCCATCCTGCGGGTACCAGGATCACCAGACATCCGAAATTGCGATGTATTGAACATGAGGTACCCGGAGGCCCCGACCCGATCCCGGGGGCCAGCTTCTCATCCCGAGCCATCTTCTGACGGTCCCGAAGCCTGGCGATGGCACCCTGAGGCCGAGAACGGCCAAAAACCTCCCGTCGTGATTTCTTCCCGACGAAAGCATGTCCAGGACGCCCCATGACGCCTCATGACGTGTCTGAGGATCGCGACGCATCCCCAATGCATCGCTGATGCGTCGGCGATGCACCGCCGACGTCGGCGACGCACCCGCACCGTCGGCGTAGAGAAAGACAGGCTCAGAAAATGAGCCCCAACAACGATGCATCGGCAATGCGGCGCGGTGCCCCGAGCCCACTGAAAGGAACATCACACGCTGCTATATGGTTACGAATTGCCATCGCACAGCAGACATCCACATACGGCATGCGATGTTCCAATTCCGCACCGAAAAACAAAGCGCGCAGACACACACACACACACACACAAACACACACACACCAACAAACAAGGGGAAAGCGACAACAGCCATCACAATAACATCAATGAAAACAACAACAACAACAACAACAAAGCAAGGGCGGCCAGCGCCGACCCGTGACGGGTCGGCGCTGGCCGCCCTGGCCTTAAGGCAAGGGCGGCCAGCGCCGACCCGTCGGGACCCCCCCCCCCGGCAACAACCACAACAACGACCCCCCCCCCCCCCCCACAACACCCACAACAACGCCATTGAATTCGATTTGTGTGAACATCTGCGGACCTCCTCTCTGGCACCAACGAATCCCTGCTGGCAAAAAGCATGTGTGCACCGGCGAAGCAAGGAATTCCTAGGAATCTTTGGGAATACCTGGGAATCCTTCGGAATTCTTAGGAATCCTTAGGAATGTCCTAGGAATCCGTGAGAATGTCCTAGGGATCCTTAGGAACCTGTACAGATCCGTGAGACTGTCCTGTCCGTGTATAGGATCCTATACAGATCCGACACGGACTGTATAGGATCCCATTCAGATCCGATACGGACTGTATAGGATCCTATACAGATCCGATACGGACTGTATACGATCCTATACAGATCCGATACGGACTGTATACGATCCTATACAGATCCGATACGGACTGTATACGATCCTATACAGATCCGATACGGACTGTATACGATCCTATACAGATCCGATACGGACTGTATACGATCCTATACAGATCCGATACGGACTGTATACGATCCTATACAGATCCGATACGGACTGTATACGATCCTATACAGATCCGATACGGACTGTATACGATCCTATACAGATCCGATACGGACTGTATACGATCCTATACAGATCCGATACGGACTGTATACGATCCTATACAGATCCGATACGGACTGTATACGATCCTATACAGATCCGATACGGACTGTATACGATCCTATACAGATCCGATACGGACTGTATCGGATCCTATACAGACCCGATACGGACTGTATATATCGATACGGACTGAATAGGATTCACAGATCTGATACGGACTGAATAGGATCCTACACAGATCTGATACGGACTGAATAGGATCCTACACAGATCCGATACGGACTGCATAGGATCCTACACAGATCCAATACGGACTGCGGACTGTATCGGATCCTATACAGATCCGATACAGACTGTATGGGACCCTGTACAGATCCGATACAGACTGTGTGGGACCCTGTACAGATCCGATACAGACTGTATGGGACCCTGTACAGATCCGATACAGACTGTATGGGACCCTGTACAGATCCGATACAGACTGTATAGGGCCCTGTACAGATCCGAGGCCCGCACTGCGACCCCGTCCCACTGGGTCGCAGTGCGGGCCTCCGCTATATGGCAGAGGCCCGCACTGCGACCCCGTACCCCCCCCCCCCCCCCGCGCGACGCGACGCGCTACTCGAACGCTCGCACGTCGCGTCGCGGGGGGGGGGGGGGGCGCGACGGTGACCGACCCTCCTGCCACCCCAAGGCATAGGAATCCACTAGGAAAGCTTCGAGGTCCTTACGGCAGCCCACGCGTTCCCACCAGCTACAAGTATGCGCCCGCTACCGCGCCGACCTCGTAGTGCTACTGGTAGTGGCAGTAGTAGTAGTAGTAGTAGCCCTAGTACTTCTAGTCGTAGTCGTAGTCGTGGTAGTAGTAGTAGTAGTAGTAGTAGTAGTAGTAGTAGGTATTAGTAGTAGTAGTAGTAGTAGATCAGAGTAGTAGTAGTAGGACTAGTAGGACTAGTAGTAGTAGTAGTAGTAGTAGTAGTAGTAGTAGTAGTAGTAGTAGTAGTAGTAGTAGTAGTAGTAGTCGTAGTCGTAGTCGTAGTAGTAGTAGTAGTAGTAGTAGTAGTAGTAGTAGTAGTAGTAGTAGTAGTAGTAGTAGTAGTAGTAGTAGTAGTAGTAGTAGTCGTAGTCTGCGGTGCGGCTTGCTGTGCGGCCACGAACCGTGTGAGGTGTGCGCCGAAATGGACCCGAGGGTTTCGGTTGCGCCCCCTGTGGGGCCCGAGGCCTTCGGTTCCGCCCCTTGTGCGGCCACGAACCGTTTGAGGGGTGCGCCGAAATGGGCCCGAGGCCTTCGGTTCCGCCCCTTGTGCGGCCACGAGCCGTTTGAGGGGCGCGCAAAAATCGACCCGAAGCCTTCGGTTGCGCCCTTTGTGGGGCGCCGAACCGTGTGAGGGGTGCGCCGAAATGGGTCCGAAGTCTTCGGTTGCGCCCCCTGTAAGGCCACGAACCGTGTGAGGGGCGCGCCGAAATGGACCCGAGACCTTCGGTTGCGCCCCCTGCAAGGCCACGAACCGAGTGAGGGGTGCGCCGAAATGGGCCCGAGGCCTTCGGTTGCGCCCCCTGTGGAGCCACGAACCGTGTGAGGGGTGCACCGAAATGGGCCCGAAGCTTTCGGTTGCGCCCCCTGTGGGGCCGCGAAAGCCTTCGGCTGCGCCCCCTGTGGGGCCACGAACCGTGTGAGGGGTGCGCCGAAATGGACCCGAGACCTTCGGTTGCGGGCTTGTGGGGCCACGAACCGTGTGAGGGGTGCGCCGAAATGGACCGCGAAAGCCTTCGGTTGCGCCCCCTGTGGGGCCGCGAAAACCTTCGGCTGCGCCCCCTGTGGGGCCACGAACCGTGTGAGGGGTGCGCCGAAATTGGCCCGAAGCTTTCGGCTGCGCCCCCTGTGGGGCTGCGAAAAGCTTCGGCTGCGCCCCTTGTGGGGCCACGAACCGTGTGAGGGGTGCGCCGAA